ATGTCATATCTACCAACTTTTTGGTAGACATTATATTAAACTGTTCTGTGGCATATTCCCGGTTGGTTTGTTGCGGAATCAATGGTGAATCTTTGCTCCTGGTATGTGTTGTTTTGTTATTAAAACCATAGATTATTAATACCACTTAATATTTCAGAGTTAAAACTAAATAACTACGTATTAACGGTGCTGATTCTTTATTGGGAGCATTTATATAAATAATGGATTCTGACAGCAGCGAAAGCGATGCACAGAGTTCTAGATTAGGAACTCCGCCACGAATATACTATGCGATTTCGTGAGAAAATTACTCGCACTTCCACCTAGTATCACCAACGTTGAGAGATTGTATTCTTCAATTAATAATATGAAAACCTTCCAAAGAAATAGAATTTACACGAAGAGTCTAGAGGGATTGTTGCGTACTAAAAGATTTATAGCAAACAACGTGCAGCCTAGCTCAGAACATTTAAAACTTTTCAATAAAAGTATGTATAATTTCCAAAAATAAACATTTTAAGATTAGTTTATGCATTTTTAAACTTAAAAAATCTTCTAAATGGAGGTGGTAGATCTACTAGTTTCGCATTTTACATTCTACCAACTTCTACCAACATTTGGCACATAATCTACTAATTTTCTAAAATTTGGGTTGGCAACACTGTACGTGCGTCCATGATTTGGACGATCAACACGTTAGGGTTATATAGACGTAGGTACAAACTATACGCAGAAATCGCAAAGCTGCAAGTCAAAGATTTATTTATTTATTGCACAGATAGACATGTACAACGTTTATGCGCCACCCACCTTGAGATATAAGTTCTAAGGTCTCACTGTAGTTACAACGGCTGCCCCACCATTCAAACTGAAACGCATTACTGCTTCACGGCAGAAATAGGCAGGGTGGTGGTACGTACCCCTGCGGACTCGCAAGAGTCCTACCACCAGTGCAAGTCAAATTGACGAGCAACGCGAAGCGCGGAATGAAATTGAACGGAATCCAAATCAACAAATAAAAAATGTTGCGTTAAACCCCTACCATATTATAGTGTTGCAAGCAAATATAACTTTAAAAAATCTCCACAGAATATTCGAGAATCTTTCAATAATTTTATAGATCAATTTGTTTCTGAATATAGTTACAGGTGGCTGTTTAAAAAATAATAAAGTAACTCTGATAATTTGTAATTATAACGTAAATACCTGTGTACTGTGTACTGATTACAAAAAACGATAAACAGTAAACACTGAATCGTGTTTGACAATTTGAATTCAAACACAGCTATCGGCTGAGTTTGTCAACCTTACGCGACAAAGATTATGAACGACTAGACGTATCAAATCTTTCACGTTAAAAGGAACACTTGGCGGATCGGATGCAATAAGTATAAATAGTATTTTTATTTATTTATACTTATTGTACACAAAAAAGAAAATACAATAAAAACAGATTTAAAAGAATGTCTAAATACTATGTACAAAGGCGAGCTTAACTCATTCATGAGTTTTCTTCCAAACCATTAGCAGAGAGAAATACGATGTATAAGAGGGGAAAAGCGTACAATATAAAAGGTATTAAAGCATGACTGTTAAACTAAGGTTTAAAAAAAACAAAAAAAAATACACAACCATTATGACAGTATTATTAGTACATATTTTTATTGTGTATTTCGATTCTACGAAGCACTGTTCTTGCTAGAGCTAGTGTTAGCAACGTCCTTTGGTTAGTTTGACATATACCCCTCGGGTACCAGTTTAGATAGAAAAAAAGACGTATTTTTTACTTTTTTTTTATTGTTCGGCGCCTAGTTCCGTGTTAAGTTTGTAATGTATATAACTTTTTTAACTTTTACCTCTAAGCAATTAGCTATTGTACAAGACCACCTCAATGGCTGGCTGGCAGCTTTGCTCTAGACTGTGGGTTGACGAAATGTAGACTTCGATCACCCTCGTTCTTACTGCCCATGTTCCACATTATGTGGGATCGGCACAGTATGTGCTCTGATCATATTTGGATTTGGCGTGGATTTCACGATCGGTGCCTGCCTGAAGTCAAGCCTCATTGGGTTACATCGCCGTAAATCCATTGCAATGTGCCACAAGAATGGACTTTTCTATTTCATATTTTGGTGTTTCTGTTACATTTACCGTTTTTGGTCCTATGTTTTATAACTTATTATTGTGAGAAATTGTAACAAAATTTAGAAAGTAAAAAAAATGTTTTATTTATTAGTAGCTTTTGCCCGCAACTTCGTCCGCGTAGTATAGTTATTATGGCAAAACGCTAAATATTACTCGCCTTTTCATTTACGGAGAAAGTGAAAATATTTTTGAATAATAGAATCTTATGGAGCTATTTAAGGTACCAAAATCACGCTTTTTTAACCGACTTCAAAAGAGGAAGTTACCAATTCGACCATATTTTTTTTATCTATATACAGTCAAAACCGTTTACTGCGACATCGATTAGAACAACACGCCGGTTATAATAACTTAGAACAAAGGTCCCGGCTGAATGCTATATGACCGCCTTATTAAAAACATTACTTTATACGACATTGCTTATACCGACATATCTCATAAAACGACCACATTTAACTAATATTTCGGAGAATTAGATCTGTTAGAACGACCGGCTAAGCTGTATTGTAAACAATTTGAATAGGTATCCACATTTGTCCAATGGCTATTAAAATCAGGAAAGAAAACAATAGGATTTAGTTTAGTTAGTGTAGGGTCTTTTCTAATTCTTAGAAACAAAACACGTGCATGCAGTAGAGTCAAAGCCCGCTTCTTCATATCTCTTCAGTTAGTTTGTTACTTATCTATACACAAGACGCACCAAAACTTTGTGGAGTTATTCGTGAAACTTTAAAAATGTCGCAATGAAAAAGAAAACAACTTAATATTGAAGAAAAATCGCGTATTATATCCAAGCTAGAGAGCGGAACTTCAAACAAAGACTTAGCAAAGGAATATGGTGTATCACATTCGACAATTGCAACCATTTGGAAAGAGCGATGACGATACGTTAATTAAAATCCAACGTGAATTATAAAATATCTATGCACAACAGAAGTGTTCCAAACAGACCAAAATTACAGATTTTATGCTCACAGAAAAATAATATCCATGTTGTACTTATGTGTAATAAACAAAATGTACATAGTTGAAAAAATATATTTTTCCAATAATTCCCTATCGATTTGTTTGTACTTGCACGATACATATTAAACATCACTGGTTGTTACGACTATCGGTTTTTACGGCTGAATATGAGCAGTCCCTTCAATGTCGTTATAACAGATTCTGACTGTATGTTCAAAATTATGTTTTATTTTACAACAAATTTGGTTAGCATAAAAAACGTTACAGTGAGCCAACCTTAATATATGACATATGCTGTCACGGACTTTTTTTTAGAACTTGTAAAGGGGAATCATTTTGTCATACATTATTTTATGAAACTTTATCCGTTTCTGCAGCGCACGCAGCGGAAGCCCTCAAAAGGGTAAAATACCCCTCGTTTTTGAAACATTCTTTATTGGTGCTCCGCTTGTATTGGTCATAGCGTGATTTTATATAATATCATAGACTATAGCCTTCCTCAATAAATGAGCTATCTGACAGTAGTAGTTTCTGAGGTTAGCGCGTTCAAACAAACAAACAAACTCTTCAGCTTTATAATATTAGTATATACAACATGTAACATAATTAACGCACACCCTGAAAGTAATTTGTTCAGAATCGGAATCTGGATCGATTTTGATTGTTTTTTATGTACCAATTTTTTTTTTCTAAAATTTAGTTAAAACTAAGTAAATTACAGTCACCCTACACAGCTAGCTAAACAATTCATAGAAACGAAAATGGAACGTAAGTCAGGGTATTAAGACTTTTTAAAATGAAATATCTAATTAGTAAAAAAAAATATTATTTAATTAAATAAATCTGATACTTATTTCAAGGCTAATAGTCTATTACAAAATACCTACGCACACAATACCAACAGCGACCGCCGGCACACAGCAATACTACGATACATAAAAGAAAGCCACGTAATACAAAAATAATTACTATCCCTTTCTTTCGTCGGCTTAATATTCTTACAATAGACGGCAGGCTAATCCCGATGTTCGCGGCGCGGCGGCGACGCGGTTGCGTCGGCGGTGATCAAAGAAAAATCTAAACAACGAAGTCAACAAAATATTTTTGACAAGTCAGTCACGCCGCGTCCACCTTATCGTTAAGAGGTCAAGTGATAGTGCAAATAAAATATCTCCCGTATTTCGCTGTCTTTTCGGTCAGTGGCCTCCTAGATCAGCTGATTTGACGCCTCTCGACTTTTTTTGTGGGGGCGAATTAAATCGCTAGTTTATAACACACAGACAATAAGTGCCGAAGAACTAAAGAATAAGATAATAACCGCCTTTGAAAAAGTGAAAAGTGACATTGCAGTATTATCTAAAATAAAACAACAAATACGAAAACGGTCATTAAAGTGCATTGAACAAGGGGCGCGGCGAGTAGGTACATGTGTCTGTGTGTGCGTGCGCAGCGGAGTGTGAATCGGTGACCATTTTATTTCCACGAAATGGGAATAACTAATTTCACAAATAATCAATGTTAACGCACATATAAATAATATTTGGTGTATGCATAGCGTTTATACTATTAAAGTCTAATTGGGGTGTTTGAGGGTGTGCGTTAAATATGTTACACGTTGTATAATAATGCTGTTGCGAAATTTTGTCAATACATTTTATTACCATCTGTATTGACAAAATATAAAAAAATACCCTGATAATTATGTAATATATGCTTGTTGTTTAAGCAAATTTTATAGTACATATCTAGTTTTCGTATTTATTATATTAAAATTTTTACTTTGACGACAGCGACCGGCGAAAATTGAAATTTTGTTCCGTCTGTATTTTGTGTTCTATGAGATATTTCTGTTTCGCTCGCACGACTGCTCAAGGTCACCCCGTTGCAAGCATTCACCGAAGAAGTAAGATATTAAATATTGGACATTTTGTATCGATACCTCTGTTACGCCGGCTTACTTATTTCGTTATTAAAAATAATATAATTTATTGAAAATGGCTAAGGTACGTACCCAACGGACTATTTACTGTAATATTATTTTAAATAGTCTTTAATTATACTTTTATTAATAATTAAAATTGCTTTTAGAGTTTAAGCTTGCGTTTTATTATGTCATTTTTGCAATTTTACATGAGAGCCATTTAAAGATTAAGCTTTTGAAAAAAAATATCATGACAAAAAAATCTTCTATTATTTGAATGGAGTAAACTTAATTGAAGTTCAATTAAAATCATGGAATTGTTGATGCTGATACCAAATAAAACGGACCTTTAATAATAATTACAGAGATAAATGTCGCGGTTTTTAGCGTAATATCGCTCAAACCAAAATGGCCTTTTACCCTTCGGTGTGTTTAATTACATTGATTACCTACATGATAAATAATAGTTTAAAAAAAAAACAAAAATAAAATACGCTTTTATAAGAAATCCAACTAACAAATAGAAAATAAATTTTAATAAATTTGAATTAAAAATAGTGTAAGAAAAAATGATTTTATTGTAAAAAAAAAACGTGGGGTGCATGGTATCAGTAATTATAAATATTTTATGAACAGATATGAGTAGAGGTGNTGATTACCTACATGATAAATAATAGTTTAAAAAAAAAACAAAAATAAAATACGCTTTTATAAGAAATCCAACTAACAAATAGAAAATAAATTTTAATAAATTTGAATTAAAAATAGTGTAAGAAAAAATGATTTTATTGTAAAAAAAAAACGTGGGGTGCATGGTATCAGTAATTATAAATATTTTATGAACAGATATGAGTAGAGGTGTTATTTTGTTAATATCCTGAAAAGCAAGGCACGCTTTTTTTGATGGTAGATTCTGCGAAGCACGGCTCTTGCTAAGGCTCGTGTTAGCAACGTCGTCAGGTTTGAGCCCCGTGAGCTGTACTATTAGCTCGGCGAATCTAGAATAACCCCTCAAGGTTACTAGAATAGGTAGAAAAAAAAAAACAAAAACATTGTTTTCAGACGTCAATTCTTTCGTGTTAATTAAGACGTTTGTAACCTTGATGAAAATTCTTAAATAATACAAACTCTTGTGTTTGAAAAAAAAAAAAATTGAAATTAATACGAATATTCGATATATTTTTTTAAAACACACGATAGTAGTAATTATCAAGAGTATTTATTAGTTTTTATTATCAAGAGAACGTTTTGTAGATTCCATAGAGAATATGTTTTTTTGCGTTACTTAATTTTTTCTCTGCGATTAATGATTTAGTATATTAATAAAATTATAAATCTCGATTGCGTTTTTTTTTATTGCTTAGCTGGGTGGACGAGCTCACAGCCCACCTGGTGTTAAGTGGTTACTGGAGCCCATAGACATCCACAACGTGAATGCGCCACCCATCTTGAGATATAAGTTCTAAGGTCTCAAGTAGAGTTACAAGGGCTGTCCCACCCTTCAAACCAAAACGCATTACTGCTTCACGGCAGAAATAGGCAGGGTGGTGGTACCTACCCGCGCGGACTCACAAGAGGTCCTACCACCAGTAATTACGCAAATTATAATTTTGCGGGTTTCATTTTTATTACACGATGTTATTCCTTCATCGTGAAAGTCAATCGTGAACGTGAGTTGAGTACGTAATTAATTAGAAAAATTGGTACCCGCCTGCGGGATTCGAACATCGGTGCATCGCTCAACACGAATACACCGGACGTCTTATCCTTTAGGCCACGACGACTTTACGCCAAATGTGATTTTTTAGCATTATTAATGTGACCATACGTCCCGATTTGGGTGGGACAGTCCCGCTTTCGGGCATTCTGTCCCGTTGTCCCCGGTTTTTTTTTATTGCTTAGCTGGGTGGACGAGCTCACAGCCCACCTGGTGTTAAGTGGTTACTGGAGCCCAGAGACATCTACAACGTAAATGCGCCACCCACCTTGAGATATAAGTTCTAAGGTCTCAGTATAAGTGACATAGTTCCGCTTTTTCAAACAGACCAAACCAATAAATTTATTTTTCAATTCAACATAGAGCTAGAATTGTTCAAATGGGCTAATTTAACAAAAGAGGTACAGACTATTACAGACTACTAACTATTTTTTGTTTAGTGCTTTTGTGTTATTCTATCTTTGTTAAGAAAATACTTGTAAAGCACTAAATACTTTTTTTATTATATAATTTCGCTGATGTCCCGCTTTGACAATAAAAAATAATGGTCACGTTAAGCATGATTCACACGAGTGTTATAATTAGAACGGTAGTGTTTTTTCCTCCATCTTTCCGTGTTTCGGTGGCATCTATAAAAACCGGAGACAGGAAACATTGTATCATTGAAATAATCGTATAGTTACGTAAATATGTGACTGTGAGGGCTTATAGTTAGCCGCATCATACCGAAAATTTGGGATAAATCATTCTGGAATCACTTTTCAGTTTATCAAGGAGAAACAAAAAGGATTATGTAGTAACAACGAATATCTGCATACGTATTTCCAGTTCGAGACGCTGTAGCCATCTCCTTCATGCTTGCTTTATTTAGAGGGAGATGGCAATAGAATAATTATAATCTGTTCTCCAAAATATTCTGGTCGTGTATGCTATGCATTTGACTTTCAAAATCGTCCACGATTGTTTGAATTTTCAATGTATTTTTTTTTTTAAATGTAGCTTAGGAACTCATTCTTTAACTACAAATCATTTTTGGCGGGAAATTGCTTGTCTAATCTTTTTTTTAATGTAACTTTTATTTTGTGTGTTACACAAATCGTTCCACATAAACTTTTTTTTTCCCTAAGCTGAGATGCTATTTCAGCGTAACCTTAACTAGTAGGTGAGCTCACAGGGCTCAAACCTGACGACGTTGCTAACACGAACCCTAGCAAGAGCCGTGCTTCGCAGAATCTACCGCCGGGTCGGAAACGCGACCCACTGAGAAGATCCGGCGAGAAACTCAGTGGGCTGTGTCTGAGAGTTAATTTACTCGTCGAGCCCTTCGTCGCAAGCGACGGGTTCGACGAGGACGATAACCGGTGCTTCAGGTACCTAAAAGCACCGTTAGTGGATCGGGAGGAACCGAGATGACGTGTTTTGGGCGACGTCGACTGCTTTCCATTCTGTCCGCAGGATCGGGAATGTAGTTACCGGCGGCCACGATGAGAGGGTTCTCGTGACGTGGCGCTTTATCGAAGTGGCCACATAAACGTTGCGTGGGGTGGACGCATTTCTTAAATTCGCTTCGATTACACAATATCTTATCGCATCAATTGATAATCTGACATTTGATGTAAGCCTTGATAATTTTGAGACGAAATTTATCATCTTTCTAGAAATCCCTAGGATGAAAAAAGCTAATGACAAACTGTTATGTAGTCGTCCACGTAAACTCGAAATGCCCAAGAATACCGGATAAAATCATTAGAAAACTAAGATTATAAACTATGTAGGGCTTAAATAGTACTAGGTATTAAACCTATTATCGTGGCTACCGCTAACTATATAACCCACCCAAGCGACGGGGCAAAGCAAAGCCGTCGCCCAAAACATGTCTTGTCGGATCTCCGGATCCACTCTCGATGCTTTTATGACCATCAAGCACCAGTCACGTGCGAACTAGCCCTTAAACACAACCAACTGAGATTCTCACTGGATCTTCTCTGTGGGTCAAGATTCCGATTTGGGGGTAGATTCAGCGAAGCACTGCTCAAGACTTGAAGCAGCTTTAAGTTAAAGAGGACTGTCATCTGTGACGGTCTCTTTAGAAGTCTTAATGCAGCTTTAAGTTAAAGAGGACTGTCATCTGTGACGGTCTCTTTAGACGTCTTAATGCAGCTTTAAGTTAAAGAGGACTGTCATTTGTGACGGTCTCTTTAGAAATCTTAATGCAGCTTTAAGTTAAAGAGGACTGTCATCTGTGGCGGTCTCTTTAGAAATCTTAATGCAGCTTTAAGTTAAAGAGGACTGTCATCTGTGACGGTCTCTTTAGAAATCTTAATGCAGCTTTAAGTTAAAGAGGACTGTCATCTGTGACGGTCTCTTTAGAAATCTTAATGCAGCTTTAAGTTAAAGAGGACTGTCATCTGTGGCGGTCTCTTTAGAAGTCTTGAAGCAGCTTTAAGTTAAAGAGGACTGTCATCTGTGGCGGTCTCTTTAGAAGTATTAATGCAGCTTTAAGTTAAAGAGGACTGGCATCTGTGGCGGTCTCTTTAGAAGTCTTAATGCAGCTTTAAGTTAAAGAGGACTGTCATCTGTGGCGGTCTCTTTAGAAGTCTTGAAGCAGCTTTAAGTTAAAGAGGACTGTCATCTGTGGCGGTCTCTTTAGAAGTCTTAATGCAGCTTTAAGTTAAAGAGGACTGGCATCTGTGGCGGTCTCTTTAGAAGTCTTGAAGTAGCTTTAAGTTAACACGAAGAGAGGTCTGCCAAAACTACTCTGGGCAGTTTTTTGGTCAGAGACCTCAATATATCTAGAGCAAGGGAATTGTGTCAATTTACCAAATGGCACATCGCTATTGCGGGTAGTAAGGCGTATTGTGGAACTCAGTAGATGTGGAAGAGTAGGTACATACTATTCCTCAACTTCTTCACTACATAGTATAAAACAAAGTCGCTTTCTCCGTCCCTATATCTGTCTGTCCCTATGTATGCTTAAATCTTTAAAACTACGCAACGGATTTTGATGCGGTTTTTTTTGATAGATAGAGTGATTGAAGATGAAAGTTTATCTATATATTAATACGTGAAGTAAAAAGTTTGTATCCCTTTTTACGAAAATTGCGCATACGGAGGAGTATGAAATTTTCCACACTTATAGAGAATATAGAGAAGAAGTGCACAATGCTAATATTTTTTTAAAATAATGCATAAAAGATACATTAGTTCAATAAAGAAAACATTACACACACCATATATACCATGTATTTGACGCACACACGCATCCATACTATTTATTGTCAAACTTTTGATCTTGACGTCTGTTGTCAAATTGAGATTAAATATTTTGTTTGTCTTTGTTAGTATTTTTTATAGTGTAGTCTTGGCGAAATTTGTGATCATAGAAGTATAAAATACAATCATAATAGTGTACAAACTTACAATTCCAATTAATTATAGTCGAATTTCGACTACTGCGGGGGGACCTCTAGTATGTATAATAACATCCATTAAATAGTGGAGAAATCGATAACAAATTACAGTTTCCGAAGCGAAGCGAGGGCGGGACGCTAGTTATTTAATAAAAACAACTCTTAAATGATTAATTGGCGTTAAAAAAATAAATAAGCCGTGTCGAATTTGTCGTTAAAAAGAAACAAACATATTTGCAACACGAAACGGAGGTCTTAATGAGAAAATTGAACGGTAAACATATTTGAAACACTTGAATAAAGTTTGTACAAGTGCTTGTTTATTTTCAAATTGAATGTTAGCGAAGGTTAAGTTAGAATATATAATTTGCTTACCAAACAGCCAGTAGATAGACAACGGAATTAGTCACGGACACGAATACGCGTACTGAAGGAGACTCATTGAAATTCTCCGACTATGGAACTATTAGATGGGTGGACGAGCTCACGGCCCACCTGATGTTAAGTGGTTACCGGAGCCCATAGACGTCTACAACGTAAATGCGCCACCCACCTTGAGATATAAGTTCTAAGGTCTCAGTCTAGTTACAACGGCTGCCCCGCCCTTCAAACCGAAACGCATTACTGCTTCACGGCAGAAATAGGCGGGGTGGTGGTACCTACCCGTGCGGACTCACAAGAGGTCCTACCACCAGTAAAAACGCTACAAATGACTATAATGGCGCATGTATATCAAACATTAAAAGATGGCACGTCATTACGGATCCTCCCGATCGATTAACGGTGCTTTTAGGTACCTCAAGCATCGGTCACCGTCCTAGTCGAACCAGTCGCTTGCGAGGAAGGACTCGACGAGCGTATTAACCCATAGACATAGCCCACTGAGTTTCTCGCCGGATCTTCTCAGTGGGTCGCGTTTCCGATCCGGTGGTAGATTCTGCGAAGGATTGCTCTTGCTAGTGCCAGTGTTACCAACACTCCGGGTTTGAGTATTATTTATTGCTTAGATGGATGGACGAGCTCACAGCCCACCTGGTGTTAAGTGGTTACTGGAGTCAATAGACATCTACAACGTAAATGCACCACCCACCTCGAGATATAAGTTCTAAGGTATCAGTATAGTTACAACGGCTACCCCACCCTTCGAACCGAAACGCATTACTGCTTCACGGCGGAAATAGGCGGGGTGGTGATACCTACCCGTGCGGACTCCCAAGAGGTCCTACCACCAGTGATTACGCAAATTATAATTTTGCGGATTGGGTTTTTATTACACGATGTTATTCTTTCACCGTGGAAGTCAATCGTGAACATTTGTTGAGTACATATTTCATTAGGAAAATTGGTACCCGCCTGCGGGATTCGAACACCGGTGCATCGCTACATACGAATGCACCGGACGTCTTATCCTTTAGGCCACGACGTCTGTAAGCTCGTCCACCCAACAAAGCAATAAAAAAAAATTCGAAGTCAAAATTTTTTAAGGTTTCACTTCTAACAGGTGTGAATTGTACACAATGGACACGTGTTTTTTTTTGTTTTGAATAGACCACAGAGTTACATGTGCTGTTTCGGTTTTCAGGTATCGATTCCAACGATTAAATTGAACAATGGAATCGAATTCCCGGCCCTCGGCTACGGGACCTGGCTAGGACTGAACGATAAGGTACGTATATACTTTTTTTTTTACGATTTTATTGACATTAAGGCCTCCTCCGCCGTGCGTCGTATTCCTCAGTTCTGAAGGTCGTGACCTTTACTGAGCACTTTTGTTAGGACTACGTTCCTCCATTCACTTCTGTCCTCCGCGCAGTGGATAGCGACATTGATGCTGGCTTCCAAAGTCGTCTTAATCTGGTTGGATCAGCGCATGGGACTACGCCCCCTAGGCCTCTTTGCTTCCACTTTGCAGGTGATGAGAAGTCTTTCGAGATTGTCACCCTTTTTCCTCGCAACAAGGCAAAACATCTATATATTAATACGTGAAGCAAAAACTTTGTATCCCTTTTTATGAAAATTGCGCGGACGGAGGAGTATGAAATTTTCCACACTTATAGAGAACTAGACGATGATAACGCCATCTTGTTGTGTCTTTAAAGCGGTTAGTTGCCCTCAATTAAGAAAAATAGTATTATTATTCGCTATTAGATGTCAGGAAGAGTCATAAAGTTGATTATCGATAAAGTTGATTATTGAAAACACGAATAAAAAAACATTTTCTGAAAATAAATCGTAGCTAGATCGATTTATCGCCCCCGAAATCCCCTCTAAACTAAATTTTATGAAAATCGTTAGAGCCGTTTCCGAGATTCAGATTATATAGGTATATATTAATGTTAGGACGTGCATAATTAGAAACAATTTAGTAGTTCAATAGTATTTTATAATTTTCAAATTAACATTATATTCTGACATATATCAGTTCGCAGACTAATCATAGATAAGTTTGCTCATCGAACTTTACCTTATTAACACCTCCCCTTAAAGTCGTGAGCTTTTAACTACAGACATCACAGATAATTATGATTATTCCATCATTCCTAAATTGTTCATGCATTCATAATGCTTCATCCCACACAAGCCCTTGGTCAAAATATCAGCAGGCATTTTGTCTGTACTCAAGTATTTCAAATCAATCACACTCTGTTCACACATATCTCGAACAAAATGGTGTCTAACATCAATATGCTTAGTGCGAGAATGATAGCTTCTACTCTGTGCAAGCTTCATAGCACCCTGGTTGTCATTAAATAATGTCACACAACCACATTTTACACCAACATTGTTAATCACATTTCTGAGATACATAGCTTCCTTAGTTGCTTCAGAAAGCGCCAAGTACTCGGCTTCTGTGCTCGATAATGCAACGGTACGCTGTTTTCGTGCTTCCCAGGTAATTGGGGCACCTGCTAAAATAAATGCAAAACCGGAATATGACCTTCGATCAATCGTATTTGCACCCCAGTCTGCATCAACTACACCAAACAATGGTACACCTGTCCTCTCATACATTAAGCCGAAAGTTGATGTACCTTTCAAATACCTCAACACTCGCTTAGCTGCCTTCCAATGCTGTACATCATAATTAGTATTAAATTGGCTTAAATAATTTACAGTATAAGCTATATCCGGTCTGGTAGATACAGCCAAATACATAAGGGCACCTATTAGGTTCTGGTAAGGGTACTGACTCATAACATCATTGTTTACACTGTTGGGTTTTTCTAGTTTAACGTTCACATCCATAGGTGTTGATATAGGTTTACAATCACTCATACCATAACG